ATACCAATGTTAGGGCACTATTCCTCCAACCGATACTAATTGTAGGGCACTATTCCTCCAACCGATACCAATAGTAGGGCACTATTCCCCCAACCAATACCAATGATAGGGCACTATTTATCTAACAAATACCAATGATGGGACATTATTCCTTCAACTAATACCAATGATGAGACCATGATATATTTCTCAAACTGATACCAATAATAGGGCACTATTTCTCCCACCAATACCAATGATGGGGCAGTATTCCTCTAATACCAATAATTGGGCAATATTTCTCCAACTAATACTTATGCTTGGGCACAATTCCTCCTACTAATACCGATGATAGGGCACTATTTCTGCAAGCAATACGAATAATAGGGCACTATTCCTCCAACTAGTACCAGTGATGGGGTATTATTCCCCCAACCAATACCAATGATAGGGCACTGTTCCGCCAACTAATACCAATGATGGGGTGCTTTTTCCTCCAACTAATACCAATGATGGGGCACTATTCCTCATCCTGCTGATCACAGGAAGTATGGCAATATTTTACTTCCACTACCACCAAGCTTGAGGCATTGTTTACTTACCACTGACACTAGGACATTTTTTACTCCCACTGGCCACTATCTGTTCCCCTTAAAGTCTGAAAGACAGTAAACTGATCCTTTGAAGACTTGTTCAAACCATGTGCAGAGAAGTGAGCTTTTGTGCACCTGTTTCTGCAGGGGCACGTGGAAAACATTTGTTCTCTATGTGCCCTGTTCACACTTGTATCATGTGCAGATTTTTTCTACACAGAAATCTGCAATGTGTATGCAGTTCTCTGCACAGAAGAAAAATTCACGTGACATCAATATTGTGGTGCGAACAGGGCAGGTAGAGAGCAATTGTTTTCTTTGTGTCCTTGCAGAGATCTACAAAATAAATGCACACATCTCTGCACATGGTGTGAACATGCCAAGTCAAATATGCGCCGTTTTCCCATCAGTTGTTACGCATAAATAGTCTGAATGAGGCCAGAAGACCACTATTCTAGTACAATGTTACAAATTATTTACATTCCTGAACTAAGGGCATAATATTTCCACACTGATACATAGTTTTCTTTTAACTATGACTTGAGTTCCCCTCATTGTTATTTTGTACATTCCAAAAATACTGACTGCTTATAGCATGAGATATATAACAAATGTGGTTTTTTTATGATTTTTCTCAATTGTCTGCTGTATTTATCTCACATATTTACCAAGTTTGTGGTATTTACCTCAAATATGATATTTTACTGATGAATTCACTCTTTATTATTGCATGTGATAGTAAGGAAAAAAAAAACACAAATATTGCATGTGGTAATCGTTTGTGAATTGACCCAACAGGTGCCTGTGCTCTTAAACGAAAGTGGAAAGCCATTACATGGCTGATGTCATAACTGATCACATATGCAGCGCCATGTCAATTACAGATCAAACAGAGGCTAAGAGAGGAAAGATTCCTTGGATGTAAGACGAGCTTTAGTTCTGCTTTAGTGCCTCATTGACACCGGAATGCAGTGCAGGAAACCTGTGTTCCGTGCTGGTTTCCCACACCGCAATCCAAACGCACTGGGTGTGCAATCTGCTACAGGTATCAATAGGTTCCAACTGACACTCCAAATGCAGATCGCAGACTCAGTGTGTTTGCTTGCACTGGATTGCATAGTACTACAGTACTATGTGATTCGGTTGCAGTGCGACTTTAAATGTAGTGCATGTACAACTTTGATGCAATCATGTGTGATTTCAGCCCTTTCACTCCTGTGTGGTTCTAGAGTAAACTTCTAGTGTAAGTACTGCTAGATCTCTTCAGGCTGGCCCCTTTTGCATGTATTGCTTTTTAAAAACATTAAAAAAAGAACCTATACTGTTTAAAATCCAGTAATACACTGTCTCACTCTGATCTGCACATGCTCAGTTGCTTTCCATTTTAGGCATTTTTAGGCACTGCTGAATCTGTAGAAGCTGATCTGCTGACAGCCTAAAGTGGAATTAAACCCTCCTATCCGTTACAGCCAAGGAAGCTGCTTCTGTTTGATCTGCAACTGCCATGGTACTGGACATGTGATCAGCTCTTTCACCAGCCATTTGATGGTTTGACAGTTTGGTTGAAAATACAAGCAAATGTGACAGTTAACATTCCTGGTATTCCAGGAATGTAACTGTTTTTTGAAACTGTTAAAGTGGTAGTAAAGTCTGTTTTTTTTTATTTGTACCTGCACATGGCATTAATAATGTTTTGATTACATTTTAATGCCTTCAAATCCTGATTAGAAATTAGCCTGCCTATGTAACGCCCCTTGATACCATAAAAGTAAAATTGTAACATTAATGTGATACCTACGTAATCATGTGTATAAAAAAACTTCAAATGTGCCCAATAAACAGAGCAGGTATTTGGAAATATGCTGAGTGTATCTTTTTGTCTGTTGCCTACTGCAGTAGTTATTATTAGTTTGGAACCACTAGTCAATATGAGGATAGGAGTTAGCTATCTATACAATTTTCGGTATTACTGCCCGGTCATGAGAGTGTGATTTAATGTGCGATTTACGAATTGAAATTGCTTCTAATGAATGTGAATGTCAGTGTCTTAACATGTGAGATTTGCTGCAGCATGATTCCTAAAGTAGTTCTTGCATTATTTTTTCTACAGTTTTGTTGTGATTTCACATACATAGAATACAATGGAAATTGCACTGCAAATTGCAAGAAATCGTTGAAAATCTTCACAAGTAAATAAATCGCACCCAAAATCGCTTTGAAATTGCACACAAATCTTGTGATCTAAAGGCTTGGTTTTTTTAAAAGAAAAAATAACAAACATGTCTATACTTACCTGCTATGTGCCGTGGTTTTGCACAGAGCAGCCTGGATCCTCCTCTTCTTTGGTCCCCCACAGGCTCTCCTGGCTCCTCCCTCCTGTCGAGTGCCCCCACAGTAAGCAGCTTGCTACAGGGGCACCCGCTGCTCCATGGGTCCATTTACACACGGAGCCATGGCTCGGTCCCATCCCCCCTCTCTCTTCTCATTTGCTCACTGGCTGTGATTGACGGCAGTGGTAGCCAATGGCTCCTGCTTCTGTCTCAGCCAATGAGAAGAGGGATTCCCAGGATAGACGAGGCTCCAGTGCATATTGTTGGATCAAGAGGGGGCTGGGGGTGATGCTGCACACAGAAGGTTTTTTACCTTCATGCATAGAATGCACGAAGGTAAAAAACCTTCAGCCTTCACAACTACTTTAATGTCCAGAACAGTTGTGGACACAAGCATATGTGACAGTTAGCAATCCCGGCATTCCAGCAATGTAACTGTTTTTTTTAAACTATTAAAGTGTTAGTAAATTCTTCTTTAACTTGTACCTACAGGTAAGCCTATACCTGTAGGTACTGTAAATATGTCCTAAATGTGCATTGCTTAGGAGATACTGGTGTAGCTCGGTTTACGCCTCAGTTCACATAATTTTCAGTTTATGAATGAAAATCCATTGAAAATAATACCTCGGTTTATGAATTTTTTACAATTTTTCGCAATGCAAAGTGTATGTCATTGCTGATTTTTAAATGCAATTTCCGGCTTTTTTTTTCTTCACTATAGCTCACAGAATTAGCTGCCACTTTCCCTGGAGTTAAAGGAAACTTTATTTCTTTTAAGAAACTAAAAGGAAACATTGTTTCTTTTAACTCAAAGAAATAAACTAAAAGGAAACTTTCTTTTAGCTGGGGGGAAAGTGACAACTGATTCAGTGAGCTATAGTGAAGAAAAAAAAAGCTGTAATTACATTTAAAAACCGGCACTGACATATAGGGGTTTATTTACTAAAGCTGGAGAGTCCAAAATCAGACTCCCTTCTGCATAGAAACCAATCAGCTTCTAACCTCAGCTTGTTCGATGAAGCTTTGGCAATAAAACGTGGAAGCTGATTGGTTTCTATGCAGAAGTGAGTCTGATTTTGCACTCTCCAGCTTTAGTAAATAAACCCCATAGTGACAGCGCCTTTTTATTTTTACTTATTTCTGACCTCTGAAATGGATTAATTTGTTTTCAATGCATTCCTATGGGAAATAGTGTTTTGGTTTACGAATTGTTTGCAATACGTAACATCCCAGAGAACGCATTAAATTTGTAAACCGAGGTACACCTGTATTTACCTGTGTAGAGCACCAGGGCACGTGCTGTGAAGAACAGGCATGCCTGTGCTGTTCCTTCAGAGCTGTATGCTGTAAAAAAGTGACTCCATTAAAGCTGCCTGAGCCTGTGAATCCAGAAAAAGGACTGAGTGAAGATGGAAGCTCTGTCAGCGATCACAATGCGTCGCTGGAGGGCTTCATTTGAAGGTAAGTTTCACATAATATGCTAGCATACGATGCATACTAGCACATTACACCTTTGTCTTCACAGGAAACTTTTTTTTTTAGTAGAGTTTACTATCGCTTTAAATCTATGGGTTTAGTTCGCTTTAGGATTTACTGCTGCTCAGGGTCTCTGGGCTTCAACAAAATGGCAGCCTCCAGCCAGAAAAAAACAAGAAAGCTGAAGGCAATTTAGAGCACACACAAACTTTGGTAGCATAATTATTAATGTATGTTCCTTGATAAAGAACATTATTTGTGATCAAGTTGTAATGGGTAAAGTTACGCTTTAAAATATCTCCTCAGAGCTCCCTACACAGATGGATGAAGTTCCTAATGAGGGCCAGTTGGGAGCTGTGGATAAAGCTCAGGACCAACACACGACACAAAGACTGTCGGGAAGCAGACAGGAAGTTACAGCTGTGTGTACAGTACGCAGCATCCTCGAAGGAACGCGCTCTATGATTGGCTGCCGTCTTTAGTAACAGAACTACGCGTGGGGGCGGGACTTAGTAACTGGCAGCAAGGGCCGTGTGATGTCCTCGGGTGGGTACGGAGCCGTGTGTGCGGGGTGTAGGTGACACGGTATGGGCTGTCGGTGCGCCGGGCTCACTCCGGAAAGATGAAGAAGTTCTTCGGTATCGGGAAGAAGAAGAAAAGCGGGCCCTCTCCCAGCCCTTCGGAGAGCGGCAGTGTGCTGTCTGTGGGCTATGAGTTGAAGGACAAGGACCTCAGCAAGTTGCACCGGGCTGCCTCCGCCGGAGATGTCCCCAAGATCAGGCAGCTGCTGCACAAGCAGGACATCAACCAAGTGGATAAAGAGAACCGGTGAGCAGCACGTGACCACACTGTACTCCTCTGTCAGGGATGGACACCCGGGGGCTCTGCCTCTTGTAGATCTCCAGGCTCCTGCATGTCAGGGGATCTGAGACCAGTACAAGTGCAGCTTTCAGCTTTGCCTTTCACAGAAAACGAAAGCAGACAGAATGTGGAGCAGCTGGGCATGTCTCATGTCAGTCAATAAACTTCCAGCTTTCATTTTCAAAGCTTAAAGTGGAGTTCCACCCAAAAGTAGAAGCTCCGCTTGTTTGCCTCCGCCCCCTCCACTAGCAATATTTGCCACTTTTTTGGAGGGTGGATACCTGGTTTTAACAGGTACCCGCTCCCACTTCCGGCTCAGTTTTCCGTGGCAAAGTGAGCCTGAAGTTTGGCCTCCCTCTTTCCTCCCGCAGTCTTTTGGGACGCGTCACGGGTCCCAGAAGACTGAACATGAATCACCAGCACCAAAAAATTAAAATAAAAATTAAATGCTGCTGTACATAAGTGTAACCTTACACCAAAATTATAGCATTACAAACAGCGCACAATAGTTTGTTATAGTGCTAAAAATCAATATATAAAAAAAATATTATTAGAAAAAAAAATAAATATAAAATATAGTCCCACTCCAAAATTCATGAAGAAAATATGACAAGTGAAAAAATAAAAATACAAAAATGAAGAAAAAATCTCCTTAAAATATTCAGAAAGTCCTTATTCCAAAGAAGTGTGCTTCCACCAGAAATGAGTGCTCAAACCAATATATACCGCACTCACCAGATTATGCTGAAATAAACCCAGAAGACTGCCGGACCAATCGGGAGTGCGGTGCGACTTGCGCATGCTCAGTGGGCACCTAGCTATAAAGCCGCAGGTTGTTACAGCCTGGTGTCTGCACTTGAGATGCCGACGCCAGGCAAAGAAGGGACGGCGCGGGTGAGCACACCGCTGCATCCCAGGACAGGTGAGTGTGTGTTTATTAATAGTCAGCAGCTACAGTTTTTTGCAGCTGCTGACTTTTAATATACACAAAAATGACTGGAACTCCGCTTTATAGCAGAGTTCCAGACTCCCTCAAAAATTAAGTCAATACTGTAGCTGCTGACTTTTACTATAAAGACACTTAGTTCAGTCAGGTCCAGGCACTGGAATCTTGAGTAAGGGCAACTGACAGTGAAGACTTGCGGCTTTACAGCCAGTCTCCCGCTGCGTATGCGTGAAGTGCGCTGTGCTTTGTGAATGGTCCCACAGTATTCGGGGACCTGTGATGTTTCCCAGAAGGCTACAACAAGAGAAGGAGGGGGTGAACTTCCCTCTCAGATCGCCACAGCACATCTGACCAGAAGTTGTAGGGGGTATTTGTCAAAACCAGGTACCCGCTCCCCCCCAAAAAAAAAAAGTACCAAATAATGTAGCCGTGAAGGGGGGAGGCTGCTGACAAGCGGATGTTCCCCTTTTGGGTGAAGTTACACTTTAAAGAGGTTCATCTAGTCCTACCCACGCCCTCAAAAAAAAAAGGCATCAGCTACAAATACTGTAGCTGCTGACTTTTAAAGTACAGCCAAAGCTCTTTTGTGTCACAGGAGTGCAGTTCATCCTGCACTCCTGTGAATTGTTCTCAGCTGATGTCACACAGACGGTCCAGGCTGGGGAAAGATTCCGACTTTAATATTGTGTTCCACCCCAGAGTCTGGAGTGGCATCTGGCTCAGCCTCTCAGCGATCTGCTGGGATCCTAACCCACCCGCTCCTGTGATAGTGGGGAAGGGGGTGAAGTTCAGAGCAGACAGCGGTGGCTGACAATCACCACTCTCTGCTCACAGTGGCAGTGAGAACTCAGCGCTCATGTGGTCGCTGAGTTCTCACACTTAGAGCCGGCGGGAGACAGATGATGCTGCATCCAGGTAAGTATGATTTAAAAAAAAAAAAAAAGAAAGAAATGCCATACTTCTTTTTTTTAACAAAAGGACACTTGCCTGTCCAGGGATCCAGTGCTGTCCTCGCCCAGGCTGGTTCTTTACCAGTCGTCAGGTCCCTGGTGCTGCCATGGTAATTGTGGGAAGCAGACTGTGACTTCTTGCGGCTCCCCTCTGCGCATGCACAAGCTGCACTTCACCCTGTGAATGATCTTGCAGCTTTGTGATGTGTCCCAAGAGGCTGCAAGCCAGGGGAAAAGGGGGAGTTATGAGGGGCAATAAATTGCCTAGGTGATCTGGGCGGACATGGCAGTGGATGCTTGTCAAAACCAGGTTTCTACTCCCCAAAAAAAAGAAAACGTGTCCAAAAGCTGAAGAAGAGGGAGAAGGAGCAGAAAAAGCAGATATTCCCTCATGCACACAGGTCGCATGCAATGTCCTTCTGCAATCGCAAACCTTACCTGCCTGCTCACAGTCTTCTATTGAGTACACACTGAGCTGCAGATGCACAGCTTGGCATGCATTTGCTGCACACTCTGGCTGTGCTAGAATGACAGAATGACCTGTGTGTGCATGGGATGACATCATTCCACCACCAGCCAATTTGGGGCCAAAAAAACAGCACCTGGAAGTAGCTGGGAAGAAGATGTCAGCGAGAGATGTAACTGACACATCGCTGGAAGGAGGTGAGTATTTCTGAAAGTTTAGTTCCACTTTGACTGAACAAGCTCAAGATAGAAACTGATTGGTTCCAATTTTGATAAATTCCCCGCATCTTTTTATCATTTTGAACCCTTCCTTCCATCTCCTCCCAGCCCTGTAAGAGGTTCTAAATGCTGGGAGGTGGGCATTCTGATCACGTGACTGCCAATCACAGTGGTCACATGATCGGAAAACTCCCAATCACAAGTATATATAGTGAGCTTTCAGGTACCTGCCGGTACCTGTGCTGGGAATACGCAGGTTGCACCCTTTCAGCACAGAACTTTTAACATTTGGGAAGCATATATGTGGCCTTTCGGCATTAAAGCCCATCCCCCGAGAGGCTGCATATGTGCGTACAGCCAGTGGGAAGAGGTTAAAGCTGAACTGCAGGAAAAATAAATAATTTATTGCATTGGGGCTGCCCCCGCACTTTAAGGTTGAAATGCTCGTTTAGCTCCCATCCACACGTGAGCCATTTCTAGCTTGAAGCTCCAAAATGCTCAACTAGCCAAATCCCATGCTTTTCAATTTTCCTTGTTCACATTTGAGAGTCCAGATGCCTGTAGTTGTAAAGCCTTAAGCTGGAAAAGGGAATGAGATACTGCTGAAACACGAAGGAGCATTTCTTTTGCCTCATTGACTTTAGTGGGACTTTAGCATAAAAAAAAATGCACGTTTCAGGTGTTAATATGAGAAGTCTATGGTCCAAAAATGTACCCCAAAGAAGCTGCTGTATGGCACTTTGAAGTCAAAAACCCACAGAAAAAACTACAAATCGCCTACTTACACTAAACTCAAGTGTAAATGGGAGCTCACATCTCGGGGACTTGGATAAGTAGTTTTACATACAAGAAAAAAGAGCAGCGTGGCACCTACGTTGGTGCCATGACTGGAACAGAGACAAAAATAGAAAAATGAAGAGGAAAGGGGGGGGATTAGAAGTAAAAGAGAGGATCAGAGAGAGAGGGGCAGAGTGGAGGTTGGGGTTGTGGGAAAGTTACTCAACTATGGAAGTGCATATCTCTCATGGCCCCCAGGAAGTGTCCGAGTGGAAATTGGAGAAACCCTTTGGGTTGATGATGGTTGATCAAAGGGGACCTGATGTTGAGGAAGGTTGCCTGGGTATTATTTAGGGTGGTCATCATTTGTTCCTGTAGCATGGTAACTATGATCCTCTGTTTGACTTTTGCAAAGCATACAGTAGGTGCAGTGCACTCTCTAAGCCAGTGAGGGAGCCCTAGAAACAAATTTGGCAGTGCGTAATAGGGTCATGACCCGGCTGAAGAGTAGCTTATGTGCATTTTCTTTTTTAGTTGCTGCCATCCAGGTTTGGTTCAGTCTTTAAAGTTCAGTGCTTGGCCTTGTTCACACAGGGCATACATAACTGTACACTTATGGAGGGCTGTGTTTACCTGCACAGGGTTATGGTGGGGAAATAGGACATATAGAAAACAATTGTTGAGCTATGCAAATCAAGAAAACTCAACAGATATGATGTGAATGACCATGGATGTCCTTCCATGTTTGTGCCTCTCATGCACCCATAGTGGCACGCAATGGGCACCCTCTGTAACCACTGTGTGCTTTGGACACAGCTGATCACAGATCAAGGTAAAGGGCCAATAATAGTGGCCCTTTGCCAAGTGATCAGCTGTGTCTAACCACAGCTGTCACAATGTAAACAGCCTTTGCCGGTAATTGGCTCTCTTTTACTCACACAGAGACAGCATGTGAGGAAAGGAGAGCCGATCTGTCCGGGCACTGTGAGTACAGCATTAGAACTGGTAATCAGTGCCTATCTGTGCAGCCTCAACAGTGCTGCCTCAACAGTGCCTATCAGTGTAGCTTCATCAGAGCACATCAGCGAAGGAGAAAAATTACGTATTTGCAAAAATTTATTACAGAAACTAAGAAAAACGTTTTGGTTTTTTTTTCACTCCGCTATTTTCGGTCTTTTTTTTGTTTATCAAATATAAAAACCCCAGTGGTGATTAAATATCACCAAAAGAAAACTCGGTCTCAAAAACTCAAAAAGTTTAAACATTCCATTTAAGTATAGTGCTGCATGACTGAGTAATTAATGTAACAGCGCTGACAGCTGAAAATTGTCCTGGGCATTAAGGGTGTGAAAGTGCCTGGTACCGAAGTGATTAAAGCTGGCTCCTAGTCTTGGGTGAATGTGAATTCACCAGTTCTTCACTGGTGGTGAATCAATCACTGTCATTTAAAACACATATCAAGGTTCAGTAGGATACATGCCACCAGCATGACTTATCTTCCAAAGCTTCTCTAAACTTTAGTGTCCTACAGCTAGAACATTGAAAACTGAATTCTATTTGGCACTCCCATAGACTGTGGTTAGCTGTATGTGTGTTTTATACCGCTGAAA